AAAAAAAAGATTAATAAATTAAAATTTAAAAGTAACTAAATTAATTAAGTTAAAAATTAATGCATTTAAGATTAACTACGTTAAGTTAAAAGTTAATTTTTTAACTTTTAATGTTTTAACTAGTTCCTTCCCAATGTTGCAAAGAAGTCAATAAATATTATAAGTATGTATTAAAATCCAAAAAAGACGAATCGGTGAACTAGGACTACTATAAGATACTCCATATACGTTTCCACAATAAATCATATTAAACTGTAATATATCATATTGAATAATATTTATATGTATAAAAAAACAGAGAGATTATGTGAATATTTTTTCCTTGCACTATTATTACATTATTGTTACATTATACTATAGTTACATTATATACAGTACTTTGCCCTAATAGGAGTAAAAATGTACTAAAGAAAGATATTATATATATATGTATATTAGACTGTCAAGAAAAAAAAATTTTTTTTAAATCGACCACTTAGCTCAAAAGCTTCCATTTTATGCCAAAAGAATATCTAAACTTTTATAAAAAAAATATTAAGATTTAGAGGTCGCTAGTGAACGATTAAATCTTAATATTTTTTGATAGAAATTTAGGGATGTTCTTTTGGCATGAAATGAAAGCTTTTGAGTTAAGTGACCGATTAAAAAAAAAAATTTTTTTTCTTGACAGTTTAATGTATATATAGTATAAAGTTTCATTCACGTGTAATAGCTTGATTTAGATACAGTTTGATATGTTATGTTTGTTAATATATACTAAAAAAATTTTATTTTGTTTCATTAATTAATAAACAACTATAAAAAATTTTGGCTATAAAGTTTTTATTTTATATGAATATATTATTATGAATACATGCAAATTAATTTTACTAGTATATAAATGTAAAACAAGAAATTTTTGAGATATTTTACAATCTATACTGTTAAATACTTCAAAAAAATTGTTTATTTTACATAATGCAAACAAAAAATCGCGATCTCTCATTTTTAATTTATGTGGCTGCAAAAATAATTTTAATTAACAGCAACAAAAATAGCTTCATACATCATATTTTTTCTTAATTTTCATTTCAATGGTAAATAGTATACTTTTTATAGAAAATAATAAATTTTTTAAAATTAATTTTTGTGAAATTCTTTGCCAATGTTTGTCCAGAAACTTGGTTATTTATCTAATGCAGTATATTTGCAAATATCGCTCGTTTATAAATTGTATAATATTATTAAAGATAATGAAAATATAGCATGCGAATGCAGTTTATGAAGCAATAAATTTCCGAAAATATATTGAATGTTGTAAATTAGTTAGCTATACAGGGTGTTTCTTAAATAGTAGACACTAATCATATAGTGTCCTGATTAAAAATTCGAAAAGTCGAATTCGATTAAAGAGTCGAAAAGTCCTCTACCATTTTGCAATTTTTGCAATGATTGAAATATTAATTTCTAAAGATTGCTAAATAAATGATTGCCAAATCACATAATGCTATTCCTGATCAAAAATTGAATTGAAAAGTTTTTTTACCACTTTGCAATTTTCATAATAGTTAATGATTGGTCAGCCGGATATTGCTTATTCGGCAATCTTTAGAAATTAATATTTCACTATTTATTGCGAAAATTATAAAGGATTTTTCGACCCAATTTTTAATCAGGAATGGGGTTACATGATTAGTGTCCGTTATTTAAGAAATATCCTATATAAATACGTGATAGTTTCAATGTAATTAAAAACTTTTTATTTTCATATTGTTTCAGATGTGTCCTTCTAATTCAACTACCTGGAAATCCGGAATTTCTTTAATATAACATGGTTTTTCTTGTGGGTTACATAAATATTTATATCTCTCTATGTAAAATATTTTTTGTGTTCTTATTTTTATTGTGGGTTAAATAAATATCTATATCTCTCTACGTGAAATATTTTTTGTGTTCTTATCTCATCTGACAAAAATGATTGTTTTTCTATCATATATATATATATGTTAAAACGATTATCCTGCAATTTTATTCAATTATGAGCTTTCAACTAATAATAACTAATTATTATAGTTTTATTATAATTTCTTATTATTATCTTTTTCAAATGAAAAAGACTTCAGTAACAGTCACTCTAATATCTTTGTAGCATTTATGTAAACATCTGTTTTGAGTTTCTAATTTCCATTTGCCTATCTTATTTGATTTTTGTTATTTTTTTTTTTAAGTATTTCGTATCTCTTGAATGTTAAATTTGATAGTTTGTAGATATAATGCTTTCACAATATATTGATTCTCAGATAGCATATATTAAATACAATAGATTTTAAACATCTTAGCGATTTTACTCATCTTTCAGGTAGGAGCATTAAGTAACTTAATGTTAGCAGTTTACTTAGAAATTAATTTATTATTTGTCCATACACAGGAAAAAATACGACTTTATCAGACCTATTGGCATATAAAACAGATATAGGTGTAATCATGGAAATATGCTATACAACTACAAACATACGGTGCTCAATGTAAAGAAACAGAAAGCCGTAATAGACTAGATCCGTGTAGTTAGGATATGTGATTTGAGGACAGGTGACTATTTAATGCTGTTTTATGAGCGAATTTTTTCATACAAATAAGACATTCGTGAGTTTTTTCGTTAACGTGCACCAATAAATGCTTTTTCAACGCTGCTTTATCTTTGCATATTTTTTGACAAGTACTACATTCAAATGGTCTCTCACCGGCGTGAATCAGGATGTGGCTGTTTAACGTGGTCTTCTGCGTGAAAGCTTTGTGACACACATAACATTCGTACGGTCTGTCACCGGTGTGACTTAACATATGTTTCCTCAACGATGACTTTTCCTTGAATGTCTTCTGGCAGATGTGACACGCGTGTCTCTTATCGCCTGTATGTATGATCATGTGCGAGTTTAATCGCGTCTTCTCCCTGAACGCCATATCGCACATATTGCACGCAAACGGTTTCTCACCGGTATGTATTAGAGTATGCCGATTCAGATCCGATTTCCTGGTGAAGATTTTATCGCAAACCTTGCAATCGTATTGACCACCAGTGTGTAATAACATGTGACTGTTCAAATCCGATTTTCTTGCGCATGCTTTGTGACAGATGTGACACTCGTGCGGTTTTTCGCCTGTGTGGACCAACATATGGGAATTCAATTTGGCCTTTTCTCGAAAAGTCATTAAGCACTCTTTACACTCGTATGGTCTCTCACCAGTGTGAACCATAGTATGCCTAATTAATTCTGATTTTCTCTTGTACGTTTTTTCACAAATGTTACACGCGTGTGGTTTCTCACCGCTATGCGCCAACATGTGATTGTTGAGCGCGGTTTTTTGGGCAAATGATCTATGACACAACGTACACTTGAAATGTTTGTTTCCCGTATGGAGTGGCAAATGCATATTCAATTTCGCCTTCTCCTTGAACGCCTCGAAACAAATCGTGCATTTATAGGGTTTATCCGCATTCGTGTGATTGGTCATGTGTCGATTCAAATTAATTTTCTCCTTAAATGTCATGTGACACACATCACATTCGAAGGGCCTGTCTTCCATTGGCATTATCTGTTCATTCATACCAGCTCGCTTCATAAAAGCCTGCTGCAATGCATCACAATCGTAAGGTTTATCTAATACATGTAATTGCATGTGGCTTCTTAAGCTCCATTTATAAGCGAATCTTTTTTGACAGATGTTGCACTCTAATGGACTCATTCCAACATGAGTTAACATGTGGGCATGCAGGCTAGAGTTGTCAGTAAAATTTTGTTGACAGACCTCACATTGATTTCCACTACAGTGCGTCTTTAGATGCGTCACCATGGAATCATTATTCAGAAACCATTTCTTGCACATTGAGCATTGAATCTTGTAGAATTTTGGTTGTTGCCCATTTTGACAGAATCCATGATGCTTGTCAGAGTCTTGCGTTTGTATAAAATTTGTATTAGTCAAGCATCGTTGCATCACATCCTCTTTGTCACATAAATTAGTATTTGCTATTTGCGACCAGTTCTGGTGACTGGTCGATTCTCCTTCCAACTCTAACTTCACCTGTAAAAATTCACAAAGCTCCTAGAAAAAGATATTGTAACATAATATATGACTGCATTCAGCAAAAAAAGCAGCTTTACAACTGTTGTAAGATTCTTTAATATAATTGGTTTACATATTTAGATCTAGTACGAAACTACGGACCAATTATGTTAAAGAATTTTACAATTGCAAAGCTGCTTTTTCTGTTGAATGCAGCCAATATCATAAAAAACAAGTCATACTTTTGTTAAGCATTTGTTAAGCATCACGTTAAATTCAAAATTTAAAATCTACAGCACATATAAAGCTATAAAAAAAGATTATGGCTAAAATTATAATTGTTATGTATTTACCATTTCGTTGGAGAAATCCACCTCATTATTTTCGATAGGCAAAAACAGAGTGCCCTTCTCAAAAGTGCCTGAGCAAATATCCTCCATGTAGTCTGGATCAAATGTTCTGTCGCCTGGTTCCTCCTTAAGCACGACGCTCACAATGTTCTCATCCTTAAAGTAATCGTTACGTTAGACTTTGGACAGCGCCAGCAGTATGCCATATACCTGCTGCTGTTTCATACAAAAAGTTTACCATAACCTGACTGTCTATGGCTAATGCATCCATCGGTTCATCTTTCACCTTAAAACCTTCCATTTGCTACACTTCACTCTGAAAGTGAAATTAATTTATTCGCTTACATTTTACAATGCGATCAACACACAATGTCTATAAAGAAAGCAAGAAAAAAAAAATAAATCCAGATAAAGAGAGACAAGGAAAAAGCTTTGTACACGATGGGTGCAGCCAGAAATTACATTAGGGAACGTCTTCCCATAACCTCCCAGAATGCGGCTTCCGCGAGTCTATGTCGAGGCTTCGCCTGTCGCGTCGGTCGCGAACCTGTTGCCGCGTTCCGGGAGGGCCAGTCGAAGGCGCGAATCGTAATTACTTAAGTCAATACTCACAGCATAGGTTACATGGCCCTTCCATGGAGTACAAAAATACAGGTTCAGCACGGGGTCGGACGCTCCTTCAACCTGTTCACGGCGCCGTTGAGATAATTGCACCGCGGCTCGAAGCAGTCGATTCGCCGCAGGCACGGATCGTTCAGATCGCGTTCTCTCCCTGGATTTTACTCGACACCGATCCGATCGTGAGCAGGTCGTGAGATGCAGGTGACGCGCGAACGCGACGACGAACTTTCTCTCTCTCTCTCTCTCTCTCTTTCTCTCTTCGTCGACGAGGAAATCGACAAGGCAGGCGATGCGCTACGCGTTAGCTGGAGTAGATAACGTAACGTTGCACAAAACGCACGCGCGCGAACGCGCGTCACATATACACGCGCATGTGTAATATGTGCGCGTGCGTACGAGACACGTACGAACACGTATAGGACGAATGGGACTCGATCGCTTGACGTCGCGAGTGCACGTATGTGGTATGCACATATACGATACGTGCTGCGTACATACGTCACGCGGCGACGGTTACGTAGCACTCACGCGTGTGCGCGCGCACGCACATCCACGCATCGTGCAGCGCTGCGCACGTTGCTGTTTATGCGCGCGCTTGACAATTGATGTGCACAATGTACAAGTTGGGCAAACGTACTCGTGTGAAGAATGTATACTCTTACGATATTTGACGCGGAATATCAAAGATCGGTCCCAGAAATCTAGTTGAATTCTTGTCAAATAAGGTGCACATCTTTACGCAATAGAGGAACGCAGTAGGGCTACGACGGCGGCATTATATCGAAACGTGTCCGAAAAGGAGCAGACGGGTAAGGATATATATATATATATAAAACTTAGTTTTTTAATTTAAAATATATATGTTAATTAATATGCGTATCAATATTGGAAAATATATTTAAAAGTATGTTTTAAACATATTGTGTATAATAAAAATATAATATATAATATTTAAAATGTAATATATACAAATTTAATATTGTGTTATGTTTGAGAGAGAGAGAGAGAGAGAGAAACGCGTTTTAAATATTTGTATCAAATACTTAAATATTTAAGTGATAATAATTCTGGAAATTAAAAAACGGAAAAAATTTCGACAGTATTGATATTAGTTGATATTGATTAGTTGATATTTGTTGTTTATTTTTAATGCAATAGATAACAAAATAGAATTATTTTGGTATTGGGATAATATTAATTCCATCGTATTAATTGTTATTTATTACCTTGTCATATCTTTCTTCTTTTTTTCTTTTTTTTTTAACTTTTTCTCATTTTTTTTATTGTGTTCTCTTTCTAATTGATAATTAATTATATGAGTATACATGAAATTCTTTGTCTGTCTTGTTATAACAATGATAAAATAATAATAACATTTCTTTCTATAAGCGGCGACATAATAAATTACAATATATAAGGTTACAGCAATATTGTGAAGAAATGAAAATGTATAATTTCAGCAAGAATGCAGTAATATATTGCATAAACACATTTAACAAATACAATAAACTTACTACTTATTATTATTAATGTAATAATTGTGGTAAATATGAGTCATACGTTTATAGTGACGTAGTAGCTATGTGAATTACATATAAAAATCTACGCGCCTGCATATATAATGAAGGTCATATTAATACAAGAATAGAACCAGGAATTTAATTTTTATTCAATACGTGTATTACTGTAAACAACCAAGAGATTTAATCTATGTAATATAATTATATATACATTATAATTAATTATTTATTATTATTAATTAATATTGATAAATAATATGCATGTATGCATATATTGTATATTTATTTTATATTTTCTTTGAAATTACAAT